GTAGCTAAACAGTTAATTTATTGGAGTGAAATTGGTAAACATCCATAAAAATGCTGTGATGATGGTAATAGTCAAACCTGCATAACATTCCAACATATGAGAATCCAATCGTTTTAGGAGCAAAGTGGTTGACCACAGAATGAAAACCTTCTAGGCAGCTAGTTTGGTCTTCAGTTGATGCCTTCTCAATTGCTGCAATCAGCCGTGGTTTTATAAGAGCTTTCTCTATTTTCTCATAAACTATGGAATCTAGGAATAAAACAGACAAAATATTCAATGCTCCCATGATTCTCCTTGAACAAAATTCTGGAATTTTTTATACTCTTTTTTATTATTATTATTATTATTATTATTATCATTATTATTATTATTATATCTGCATAACTCAGTTTTTTAAAATTATCCGTAAACAGTCAGAATTGCAGTATCATTACAGCTTCAGTTTCCATTCTTTGCAATAACTTTGTTTTGGCTGTATTTCAAACTGTGATACCTTTTTGCAACCATTTCCGTTGTGGAATATCTCTCCCATGTGCACACTTATTAAATAATGGGTCATCCAGATTTTCATGCTTGTTAATGATGTGGCTTAGATAGGATCTGAACTTAGCCCAGATGCCTTTTCCGCTTCCAGTTATAGTGGTAGTGACGCTCCAATAGAAATGGTTAGTGCATGGCTTTATCCAATCAACCACTGCCTCACACTTGCTCTCCTTTGAGATTTTCAACAAAACCTTGTGAATTTCTGAAGAGAAAAAAAAACATATATCAAAATATTTCACTATAAAATATTTGTAAATGCCAGAACAGCTTACTTTTTTTAATATGCCATAAATCAAAGTAGTGCTTGATATGTCCCAGTTTTTCTCTCATGTGTTTGGTGATTGAGGTGTGCCTGTCAGATATGAATGATGCTATGGCTATTCCACTTCCCAGAATGAAAGTCATGCACTTGTTGAATGCCATGTACTCCATAGCGGTACTACTTCGAGCTTCATTTCTCTGAAATAAAATGAAAAATGGATCAACACATTAGGAATATACAGGAATATAATAATTACCAAACCAAATGTTATCAAATATTTTATCAAACTATTATATTTGTACCTGCACCAATGTGAAATGTAAAATGAAAGGCAAYGTACAGCAAAATAGTGTGTAGGCACAGCACTTAGCACTGTGCCCCATACTATCATGCCTTCCGTCACCAGCTATTACAACACCTCTCCCAAGAGCCTTGAGTTTTTCAAATAGGGTTTGCTGATACTTCTTCCAGTGGATATAGACAGAGGGAAATAGAATGCTCTAAGATAGGTAATAAATGAAAGAAAATATAATTACATGACTCAAAATTGGTAAAATCTTCTGAAATTATAGCAATATGAAAAATACCACTGTATTACTCCTTTCTTTTGCTTGATGAAATTGCAAGTATTGATATTTTACTTACTTGTTGATGGTGGAAGAAAGTCGTGAGAGTAATGCAAGAAAGTCCCATGTGTCTAAAGACTTGGACTACTTTACTTGCAAAACCTCCAGCCAAAAGAATACCAAAACACAACAATAGATTTCCAGCAGCAATTCTTGTTCCTGGGAAGTTTGGTTGGCTTTTCCATGTGTAGTCTTTCCGGCATTTTGTATTTGAGCATGTTGTCCTCACTTCTACCATTGTTCCAACTTCCCTTGTCTCAGTTAAAGGATTGCCACTTTTGCAAAAGTGACAAAATTGGAACAATAGCAAAAGTTGAGACAAAAACACAATATGCTTTGGTTCATGCCTCAAGTTGTCATCTTTGATGTAGACTTTTGATCTATAATAATTGTTATAGATTTTAATTAGTATTATTAAGACACTGAGTTTATCATTTATATATTATTTTATATCAACTGTTACATCTTACTATCATTGAAACAGTGAAAAAAACTAAGCAAACCTTTGATCATTTTCACAGTCTGTATCTGTCTCTGTTGTCTCCCCCTCGGTGTCTTCCTCGGTCATTGGCTCTTCTTCAGTAATAGTGCCATCATCATCTGTACTTTCCATGTCATAGTCATAGTCACTGTTACCATCTTCTTCATCATATCTTGGTACAGAAATCGGAGGAGGTGGATTTGGTGGGCCTGACAAATGAATTTTCATACATTTAATATCAAAATAGTATACAGTAAAACTTACATAGTAGAGGCCATCACATCCCTCAAAATATTAGGCCATAAGCAACGACTCACTCTCAAAATGCAGAGTAAAATATTGTATACAGTACCTTCGTGATCAGCTGCAAACTTCTGTTGTTGCTGCTCCTCTCTCCTTAGTTGAGCTCTGCATTTTCTTAATTTTGTCTTCGCAGAAATCCATTGATTTCGCAGCTGACGATTTTTTCTCTGGARGGAAGTACAACTCGAGCATTCCTGAATTGGAGTTTGAGTAAACTTACACTACGAGAAAGAAAGAACGCGTCCTTACAAAAAAGCCATAATACGTAAATAACATGTTTGTAAAGTTTTTAAACATACCRAATCGTCCAGTTCATTCATTTCTGAGACTTCTTCTAKAACTGTTTGTGGATCTTCTACTGGGCTCTGATCTGTCTCATCTGGGCTTTGATCCTTCGCTTGCTCCATATCCTCGGCTGTATTTTGTTTTTCCTGGATGTTGATTGACCGTAAAACTTCCCTCRCGACCTGTTTATCATTAGATAGATGGATAAATAAAAGTTAATCGTCTTATTTTACTTAGTTTAAAAGTGGATGGTATTCGTACCATTCGCCTTGATCGTTTTGCAGCCGACTCAGATGCAGGTTTAGCCTTCTTGTTTGTAGTAATGGATGGTATGGCAATGATACCGATGTCATCTCGAACAAGTCTCTGACTGTTAGGCGCTGATTGTCCGTCAATCGCGATAAACTGTCGCGCATAATCTTCCGCTCTAAAATGGTCGGAACAAATCGCAGATATAGAAGTCGCACTCCATTTCTTTCTTGTGAGAAGAAYGAAGTCAACCCACTTCTTGCGGCGTCTCACGGCTTCTGGACGATCATCACCAAAAAACGGAATTCTGTGCAACGAGATGCCGTTCTTACGGCTGTTCTCATTACCACAACCTCCGACAACACAACGGTYGGGCATCTTAATAATAAAACTTAAATTTATCTTCGATTTTCAATATTTTCAATCAGCTTCTGTAACACTACGAACGTTTCTACTAGGAAAAACCCTTGAACTGTTGATCAACAAGTCCCGTAAATGACGTCACAAAAACTCGGTACCAATCCCTTTCAACAGCTCCGAAATGTTTCTAAAGGGAGCCCAAATCATGCTTTTTTGCCAACTTTGACCCACAAAAAATTACACACGAAAAATAATTTTTGAAATTTTAATACCTAAAATCCTCTTTATATAACACAAACTTTATTTTAGAATTGAAACCAGCGAACCCTGATATGCACTTTAAAGAAAAGCAAAGAGCCCCACCATATACAATTTTTTTATTTTTTATCTGCAAAAGATTGGTGATAGCTACAAGGTAAAAGAGGAACATACACTAGGCTACTTTGCTCAAGTCCAGGGCCAGCTAGCTCTAACTGGTCTACAGTGGTGTGACTTTTTCATTTTTTTTTCTGAATCAAATGAAATGGGTAGAATGATGGAATGTGAATCAAAGGTTATTCACAATAATATGACATATTGACGAGAAGCTATGGATGCATCCATTTCCTAAACACACTATGTAGGTTATATGCAAACTTGAACAACATGGACAAAATTAACTTTGAGTGACAGTGAACAGACTACTTAATATAATTACAATGTAGGTGGTCATTTTTATAAAATTGGGTTTTGAACTTAGAGTCAATTTTATTCTTTAAGCTCTTGTCTATTTACACTCACTTTGGGTGTTTTGGATGCTTGACCTCAATCAGAACATAATATACCATCTTCGCTCCTGCTGAAGTCTTCAAAATATATATTCTATTACGTGAATGCAAACTTAATTTTCGCTGCATTGATGTTTTTTATTGTTAATTACTGAACGGCGTTATGTTTTCGCTGCATATAATCACATTATTTATGTAACGTATAACTTTCGTTCCTGCTGAAAGTCTTGCAAAGTATTCTATTAATAATTTTAGTAATCCACTACCCAGAATATGGCTGAGAATCATTTCCTTCGCTCCTGCTGAAGGACGATTCTGCTATCTTAAGAGGGTGATGGCCTTATGACAAGTGGCTTTAGAACTTACAGGGAAGGGGAACGTACATATTTTGAGAAGGCATTCGACTTCCATCGGCCAAAGCTTTTGATTTGTGCATCTGAAAATCCCTGGGCTGCAGGCCAGGAGGCAGCCCCTATTCGAAAACTGTGTGTTTTGTAGAGAGATGTGTCTAATCCGCAAAATATTAGGGCTTGTCTGAGTGCTCCTACAAATTGAGCGCGTTGAACTGGTGAATTATCTGGCCAGCAGAACAAGGGGCCGTCTGGAAGATGTCTTACACTTAGGTATTCAGTGATTAAGGTAACCGGGCAGATGGGTTGTGACTTGTGCATTATCACATTTCAAGGGTGGTTTACATTGCTGTGTTTAAAAAAAATCTCAGGGTAAGCTGAATCGACATTTTGGTACCGTCTGCTTATTTCAAAAAAGGTAATCTGATTGAGCTTAATTATATTTCTGATGCTTTGCCTATGGTTGCATGTCATTTCATCTACTCTAAGAGCAGCAAAAAATGCCGTAGCGCACATGGCTTTCATCAACCGCTTGCGGAAATCAAGCGATATAGTTTGGTTGAAAGCATTAACTATTTGCTCTAGTAGCAGCAGGGTCCTACTGTAGGTAGCCTAGAATCAAGAGATGGATGTGTCTTCAAGTACCCTTCTAAAGCCAATTTCCAACCAGCAGATTGAGTGGGGTCTGACACAGATGCTAATTGATGCGTGTAGCCAACAGCAGAAATGTATGTGAAAGCTGTAGAAGCCGCGTATTTTTGCTTTGCTAGATAGGCTATGAATAACATTATGCTATCTGCGTTAATTGGAGGGCGAAATTTGGTGTGCCAAAGTAGCAGTGGTGGAATTTTCTTAAAATTTTCCAAGACCTTTGGTAGGTAGGCAGTAAGGAGTGACTAAGGGAGCTATGCAGTAATGAAGTTAAAATATCTCCCATTTCTCCGGTAGGAGATGTTTGGGGATGGGAGTTGCAGAGGCTTCCTTCCCTGTCGCGAGATTTCTGAATTTTTGGATTTGAAAACGAGATATTAGGACAGGATGATTGACATATACTTCATCATGCTGCAACACTGAGCAGGAAATTTTTCAGTATATATGGCCACATACACTAAAAAGCCATTGATAGCTGAGCTGCTTCTTTTGGTTGGGAATCACCGACAGGGTAGGCTGCCCCCCATCTTTTAGTAACTTAATGCTATAGCTATCATCTACTGGTTGATTACTGAGCAATAACCCTAGATCTACATAATCATTGGCCCAAATTTTGCTCTTGATCTTGTCAGGGATCGCAGAGCCTAATGGGAGAGCAACTGATATAAAGTTGTTCTTACTTGTGTAGGCTTCTTTGTTGTCCTTTAGCTTGGCTTGGCCAGTAATTTCCTGTACTGCATCTTGGATGGACTGCTGCTCCACTTCAGACCCTGTTAGCAGTGATTGTCCTGTCCTGACCTCTGACACAAACTGTATGGGTGGCGGTTGGTTAGTCTCTTTTATTTATTATCCTTCTCCACCAACTGGGCTGTTCTGGTTTTTGAGGGCTTCCCGGACAGCTGTGTTGATTTGTTGGATCATTTCATTGCTGAACTTTGATGCTGTATTGGTAGCGGTAGCCTCATTACTAAGTTGAGATTGTTGGTTGTTATCTGTGTCCTCTGACTCCTGCGAATTGGTGATTTGCATTGGTAGATGGCATCTCTTGACCACTGTTTTTTGAGATTGTGTTTGAACCCTACGTTTTGGAGGTATCCTGTTCATGTCAAATAAAAATTTTCATAAAGTCAAGATACTGGTCCACCGAAATTTTAAATACTTGCTATTGAAATTAAACTTTACACAGCTATAACACAAGTGTGTCGGTCCGGCACCCCATTATAATATATGTGAATAAGGGTGCTAAAATCAAGTTACTCTCATCAAAAAAAAAAAAANCATCAAAAAAAAAAAAACAACAAACAAACAAACAAACAAACAGACAAGAATGAATAAAACAAGCAGAAGACAGACAAGAGAAAAAAGAGTAACTTGCTTTATATAAGTAATGGGTTTGCACCATATAAGATACAAAAGGCATCGAGCAAGAGCAATCACGAAGGAATGCACTGATAGTTGTGTCAGGAATATATTACCATAAGCTTATGAACCGCGAAAAGAGACTGTAGAGTTCCTGCCTTGTGACTTCCAATTTCAAGGGCCATTTAAAAATATTAGAATGAATCAATAGACATGAGCTTTTGCAGCTACAGATCATATATCCTTGAGAAGACGTAGCTAAATGTAAAAAGCAATCGTTCGAGCCGTTTATGTGAAATCGTGGAAAATGCAAAACTTCGACGATTTGCCAAATCTTTACTTAAAAACGCTCTTCGAAAATAAATTCATTCTCAAGACCAGCAAGGAAATAGTTGACCAAACTCACACAGTTTAAAAACGAGAGCAACAGCAACATTTTAGGATATTTTTGAATAATTTTATTCAATAGTAATTTTTTAAACCGAGTGCGCAAAAGCGATAAACAAAACTGAGAGTATGAAATGTTCGTGCGATTTTCACCAAATCTAACATAAGAATTTCTTTAAATCCTTGATATTTTGTTTGTCATGAATTGGGGATTCTTAGGAGTTAACAGTTTTTCTACAGCACATCTGAATCGTGCGCACTTTTCCAATTTTTTCCAATTTCCGATTTTTCTCGATTTTCTTACGTTGAAGACTTTGATTTTAATAAAATATACATTAGTACAAACTTCAAACCAAGAGTAACAACTGGTATAAAATCTAAAATGATCCAGCAAACAGAACATTGTTAACGCGATGATTGAAAAAGTTCTGTTTGGTGATCATGAAACTGTATTGAAACACCTTAAACATGAACAGGTTTTGGTGTCATTCATCATTTTGAAAAGAAAACATAATAACTATATACATAGCTGCGTGCACTCGGGCTTCTGTTTTAAWGCCGAGATTAATCTATGTTAACCTAGGTAAACTTTTGGGAAGACCTTCAGCGTCTCAAAAAATCTGAACTGTCTCTGTATATTTCTCTTTAAAGTTTTATAATGATACTAATAATAATATAAGAATCAGGTAATAGGTTGAAAGTTACAATTTTGCTATATAACCAATTTTGAAGCTTATACAACAAAGAAACAGAAATTACATAAACATTTGTCCATCCATCCAT